GGACCTTGATGCACGTCATTTTTTTTTTATTGGATCGAGTTTGAAATGGCCGACTGGAGGCCATTTTGTTTTAAAGAATTCAGTTCTGAATCCGTATCTGAGACATGCCTGGATTGATCGAGTTCAAACTTCACACACACAAGGTACATCATGTCACAAATATGTATGTGCATTTGTTTCATGATCTCATTAACGATAGCCAAATGGCGGCCGCTTTAAGGCCGAAAATGCATTGAAATCGCACATTTTCACCATTCCGGAACCGGATCTCAGTCATGCATGGATGGATTTTGTTCAGATTTAGTACAATGTGTTGTACATATGCAGGTGCATTTCGAATCAGACCACTGTAAGTGGTCTTAGATTTTGATCATGATCTGCTTTGAATGTATATGTCACTCAAATATGAACGAAACGGGGACGTGTCATTGACAATGACTTGTTTTTTTTTAAATTTCCCCAGAGATCATGATGCATTACGTCATTCACGTAATCTGATTGTGTAAACTGGCTTTAGGTTTCTTTTGTCACTTGTTTATTCATTTCTCGATGAACTCGGGAAAATTAAATGAACGTGTGAATTGCCACGTGACATATTGGGTCTTACTTTACAGCAATTTGACATGTATAGTATGTTAGTTTAGTTCATTGATTTACCTGGTACAATACAATTCAGTGTGTTGTAGAAATTCTAAGCCAGATGACAAAAGAAATTTACTGCAGAAAGTCTCTTTCCACCAAAGATGCATTAGGCTCTGGGTTTGATTCTTGGAGCTGTTTGAGTACAATTGTCCCTGCATTCCAAACATGTGATATCAGGTTTGGGAACTGGTCTATACACAAGCAATTGCATGTAAGAAAAAGAAATGCAAATTATTCTCTTGCATGTATTTGGTTGCCTTTTCAATACAGGCATTTCCGGCCCTTGTCTAAAGAATTCAGTAAATGGCCTACAGTTGGACTAGACACAGTTCCTGGAGCATGTCCGTTTGATGGTGTTAACTATGAAGATGGACATTGTGCTGAGAGAAGTGAAGATAGGGGTAATAAAGAAGATGAGACAACCAAACAGTCAGAATGTACAATCTCAAAAACAAAGTGAGTATTTGAATGTGTTGTTTTGCATACAAGCGGATGTGTGGTGAACGGGGACTAACTTGTGTTCAGTTTTATAGAGGTTTTGGGTATGAGCAAGTGCATGGACTGAAAATGGTGTTCACTTTATAGAGGTTTTGTATATGAGCAAGTGAAAGGACTAAAAATAGTCTTCAGTTTATAGAGGTTTTGTATATGAGCAAGTGAAGGGACTAAAAAAAGTG